TGCACTAGATAGGAGAAAATGTAGAAAGTAGAGTTTATATTCCATGTCTCATATGTTATAGGACCATTTTAAGTCCTGACTGTCCAGGAATTCTCTGTACACTAGGCTGGCCTTTAATTTAGAGATCCACCTGTCTCTGCTTCCTGAGCAGTAGGACTAAAGGTGTACACCACTGGGCTGGAGAGATGTCTCAGCAGGTTAAGAGTGCTGATTGGTTTTCCATAGGCCCTGAGTTCAATTCCCAGCACCACTGGCTCACAACCATCTATAGTGGAAGTGATGCCCTCTTCTCGCATAAAGTTGTACAGGCAGACATTAAAAAAAAGCCTTAAGGCCGGGCGTTGGTGGCGCACGCCTTTAATCCCAGCACTCGGGAGGCAGAGGCAGGTGGATCTCTGTGAGTTCGAGGCCAGCCTGGTCTACAAGAGCTAGTTCCAGGACAGCCTCCAAAGCCACAGAGAAACCCTGTCTCGAAAAACCAAAAAAAAAAAAAAAAAAAAAAAGGCCTTAAGAAAAAATAAGGTGTGTACCGCTGCCGTCCTGCTTATTTAAAAAAAAAATTACTGTTGTTATTATTATTGGATTTTTTAGAGAAAGGGTTTCTCAGTGTAGACCTGGCTGTCCTGGAACTCACACTGTAACACTGTAGATCAGGCTGGCCTGGGAGAAAATCCTGCCTCTGCCTTTCAAGTGCTGGGATTAAAGGCTTGGGTCACTACCGCCCTGCCTTTGAAAAATTTTTATTATGGAAAATTTAAATATGTATACAGTGCACCTCATATGTTCATTTTTAAATCTACAGCATTCTGTCCCATTCCATCTTATTTTTGAAGTCAGTCTCAAACATTCATGTATAAATAGGACCTGAAGTTTTCTTTTTAAATTATAATCACATTTCCCTTTCCCCTTTCCTCCCTCCAAGCTCTCCCTGGTAGCCCCTCTTGCTCTTTCAAATTTATAGTCTCTTTTTCTTTAATTGTGTGCATTCTTAAGTACATAAATATAACCTGCACAGTCTGTATACTTGTGTGTTTTCAGGGCTGACCATTTGGTATTGGATATCTGATAGTTGGTGTGTTCTTCCTGGGGAAGACTACGTGTGTGTTTTTGTTTTTGATTTTTGGGACAGGGTTTCTTTGTAGTTTTGGAGCCTGTCCTGGAACTGTCTCTGTAGGCCATGCTGACCTTGAACTCACAGAGATCCTCACAGAGCCTCTGCCTCTGAACTGCTAGGATTAAAAGCACCCGCTGGGTATAAGACAATTGTTGACCTCTTGACTTTCCTTAGTAGTTCTTAGAGCCTTTTGGGCTCCCCCTCCCCCATCCACATTAGCATGTCTATTGGTGATACCCTTGTTGAGGTCATGTAAGCAGCCATATTGATAAGACTTTAATGGGTGTGTAGCTTCTGACATTTCTAGGAGACATAATCCACAATCTCACAGTATATTCTACTTTTTTTTTTTAAAAAAAAATTTATTATATATACAGCATATGTTTGTATGCCCACATGCCAGAAGAGGGCACCAGATCTCATTACAGATGGTTGAGAGCCACCATGTGGTTGCTGGGAATTGAACTCAGAACCTCTGGAAGAGCAGGTAGTGCTCTTATCCTCTGAGCCATCTCTCCAACCCAGTATATTCTACTTTTATTCTCTTTTATTTTTCTTTTCTCCTTATTGCTCGCTCTCCCTCTCTCCCTCTCTTTTTTTAGTGAAGGGCAGATATGTAGCCCTCACTGACCTGGAACTACTTATGTAGACTGTGCTGACTTCAAACCACAGAGATTTGCCTGAATGCTGGGATTAAGGACGTGTGCCACTACTGTCCAGCATGATTGCTAATTCTTACTGAAAGAGAAGGGATACTTGGAAAACACTAAATTTTTTTGTTTTGTTTTTTGAGACCAGGTCTCTCTATGTAGTCCTGTCTGTCCTGGAACTCAACTTGATACACAAGCCTAGACCAGGCTGGCCTTGAACTCAAGAGATCCTCTTGCCTCTGCTTCCTAAATGCTAGGATTAAAGCAGTGCCTTTTTAAAAAATATATTTCATTCATTTTATGTGTATAGGAGAGGCAGGTGGATCTCTATTGAGTTCAAGTCTACACACAGAGAAACCCTGTCTCCAAAAAAAAAAAAAAAGTATTGGTGTGGCTGAAAGGACCAGCAACAAATTAGTTAAATGAGATGCTCTGTCTATGTGACTGAGTTGTGCTGACTGCCAAAGAGTACATCTTTGTGAAGATTGTTAGACTTGAAATAGTACAGTATGAATATAGAGCACTTAAAAAATGCAAGCTCTGTTTTCCATATCTTCCACTTAGTTCACGTCTCAGTTCTGTTTCTGTGTTGTTTCTTGGAGAGCAGAGCTATAGTGCTCAGTTCTTAGTAAATTTCTTTACCTTCCCAGTTAGGAGGGTTCAATCTCAGTGATTCAGCCTGACAACTTGTCATGACTTTCTTCTGCTCTGTTGGCTGAATATTCTCAGATAACAGCTCGTGGAGAGTAAAAGGGCCCGTAGCAAATACTGACTTGTGCTATGGCTCTGTGAAGGGACTTAGACTTCAGTTGATCTGTAGGGTTAGATCTCTTTGAATTGATTCTTAGGAAAGACTACCTTTATGTCAGGTAAAGGAAACTGGGGCCATAAATGGAATAAGGCTGATGGGCATATTTGGGGTGTGGTAGTTTGAATGAGAATAGCCCTCATAGGTTCATATTTTTGAATATTTGATTCCCAACTGGTGACTGTTTGGAAAGGATCAGGAGGTGTGGCCCTATTGGAGGAGTAGATGTGAGTTTTCAAAACCCAGCCATTCCCACTGCACATTCTACAGCTACCCTAATCTAGGGAATACTGGAATATCTTCTAAATAAAACTTCTCACTTGCTCTCCTCTCTTTAAAGGGGCTCTTTAAAGGGGTTTTTGTTGCCTTTTATTGCTCTTCACCACAGAGAATACGCTCTTTGCTCTCTAGATACTTGCAGGAAGAAGCAACTCTTTACTATGACTGGACATTGGTAGGAATGTGGCAAGACAGTGTTTGAAGATAGTCTTCTAGTTTTCAGGTGAAATACCATGACTAAAGAAGTTAATCTTGCCTGCTGACACAGTACTCAGTCCACAAGCTTTGAAAGCTCTGCTGAGTGAAAACCAGGCATCTTGTTCCACACTGACACTGTCTCTTCTGTCACCTAAGCATTTTCTTAGACTCTGGACTGATCAATCTTGGAAGAAAAAGCTACTTGGAGCTTGGTACACTTACTCACTTTCTTCCCCTCCCCACACTTAATAACATAAATAAATGCTATTTTTTTTCTGAGACAGGGTTTCTCTGAGGCCATATAAATGTTGTTTTTATACATGATCTTTGTACTTGCCCTCTCCCCAGACATGCTGCTCTGTCCCCTCTATCCTTATTGCTGGTCCTTTTCCTCCTCCTCCATTATCCCCCTTCTGCTTTCATAATACATACACTCTGTTACCCTCTTGTTATTTCCCCACTGTAGATTTCTTTCACCCTTCTCATAGTTCCCTTTATACATACAAATGTGAACTTCAGTCTAGACTTAATACATTTGAGAGAAAACATAAACCATTGATCATTGATTGGGTTGTTTTTAGATTGTAGATAGTGATCTCCTTTTAGATAATACAGTTGAAAAAGACTTCACCCATTTCATAGACTCTTTTCACTCTATTGATTATGTTACTGTACAGAGACTTTACTTTCATGTAATATTGTTGTCAGTTCTTGGGGTTTTTTCCTGTGCTTTTGGAATTGTGTTCTGTTCATTTCTAAATGTCAAAGACTTCAGTAGTTTTAACTGTACTGGCATGTGCTATAGAGTTTCTTTGCTTTACTTGTAAAATTCAGTTTGTTAATTCTTCTCCTACCCCCCTTGCCTCCAGACTTGTTTTCTCTGTGTATCAGTCCTGATTGCCCTGGACTCAATTTGTAGACTAGGATGGCCTCTCACAGAGATCTGCCTGCTTCTGTCTCTTGACTGCTGGGATTAAAGGTGTGAGCCATGATGCCCGGCTCAGTATATTAATTCCTAGTGAGCGTGGATTAACTTTTTTTTTTTTTGAGACACTATATCCCTGGCTGGTCTAGAACTCTAGGCTAGCTGTAAACTCAGATTCACTACATGGCTGGATTAGCTTTTTGAAATACTACAAATAGCAAGAATATTTTAGATATTTAAGTGTGATTGATGGTTGAACTAAAGTGTGTGTGGGGGCTACTTTTCTGTATCACTAAGAATGACTTAACTGAGGTGCTTTATGCTGAGATTGTTCTCATGTAATGTAGTTTCAGTTGCTTTGTAATACTCCTTTATTTGAAATGTGTAAATCCTTTTTGTCTTCCCATGAATCTCCTTTTTCTTCACCTTCTCACTCCTAGATTTCAGTCACTGTTTTCAGTTCAGTCAGAACTTATAACTTGTAAACCTGGATGAAAATGCTTCAGATTGACTTTAATATTTAGACCAGTGCTTTCCTATTTGATTGTCCTTTCTAAATAGCCTTTGCTTGTGATGTATTTACATATCTTGGTTTAGCAGATTGCCTCAGGATAGTTTTCTTGAAATCAGAATGTTTTGCTAAGAACTCCAGGAGGATTAACTTCTGGTTAAGAGGAATTGGCTTTAGGGCAAGAGTTTTTAAATTGCTCCTCTTGACAGCAGCATCTTTGTTACCTGGTAACTTGTTAGAAACATTCTCAGTGCTGGGGCTCATTGATTTGTCTTAAGTCCTTGAGCTAACTAATATACATTGGTTAAGTTTTAGATTCTTACTATAGGATATGATACTTAAAAAAAACAAACAACACTTTTATTGATCTTTAGTGGATGGGGAGTTTGAAGAGTAATTGAGTGTTGGGAAAATAAATGCTCTCCCAGGTGCAGAGTATGTTATCTGGGGGAAAGGAATGGGTGCTCATAAGCAACATAGTATTTAGAAATTTTTAATCTGGAAATTTCTTTCAGGAGGCAAAACCTTCAACTGAGGACTTAGGGGATAAGAAGGAAGGAGAATACATTAAACTCAAAGTTATTGGACAGGTGAGTTTCATTTTTTTCTCATTTGACATTCTTCCAGTGTGTAAAAACAGAAAAAATATTAGTTAAGACAAGCTTTTTTTTTTTCTTTTTTTTCTTTTTTCCGAGACAGGGTTTCTCTGTGGCTTTGGAGGCTGTCCTGGAACTCGCTTGGTAGTCCAGGCTGGTCTCGAACTCACGGAGATCCGCCTGCCTCTGCCTCCGGAGTGCTGGGATTAAAGGCGTGCGCTACCAATGCCCGGCTAAGACAAGCTTTTTAAAAATTGGATTTTTACTTATTGTATATATGTCTGTTAAGGTTAAAAGAGCTGATACTGTTTTTGAGACAGGGTCTCACTGTGTAGCTCTTGCCTGGTCTTGAACTTATGTAGACCAGGCTGTCCTCAAACTCAAGAGAGCTATTTGCTTCTTCCAAGTGCTGGAATTAAAAACATACCACCATACCTGGAATGCTGTTATTATTATTATTTTTAAGATTAGAAATAGTGAATGGTACATTCTTACGATCAAAGTATGATAGCTTTTCACATTCTTCTAAATGTGTGATCAGTGCCACTGTAAAAGTTTTGCTTTTGCATTTCCTTGATTGTTGAGAAAGTTAATTTTTTGAGGGGTCTGCTTTTTCTCTGTCTCTCTCTCTCTCTCTCTCTCTCTTTCTCTCTGTGTGTGTGTGTGTGTGTGTGTGTGTGTGTGTGTGTGTGTGTGTGTGTGTGTGTGTGTGTGTGTAGTGGTGGTATGGGGGACTGAACTTAGGACCTGGGACAAACCAGGTACAAGTTCTACCATTGAACCATATCCCCAGTGTTCTTCTTACTCTTTATTATTACTTTGAGTGTGGTATGTGTGCATGCAGTGGGCACACTCAGTTGCTTACGCTCACATAGTGGGTGTCAGAGAAGGATGATAGTGTCTGCTCTTACTCTTAGGCTTACTCCCCTGAGACAGGAGTTCTCTCTGTTCCTAGACCTGGCTGGTGACTAGCAAGTTTCAGTGCTCCTCCTAACTTTCCCATAGCATTGGAGCTGGGCTTGGCATGTTTTTTAGTGTTCATATTGGGATCTGAACCTGGATCCTCAGGCTTGTGCTGTCTTTTTTTTTTTTTTTTTTTTTTTTTCCGAGGCAGGGTTTTTCTGTATTGTTTTGGAGGCTTTCCTGGAACTCCCTTTGTATACCAGGATGGCCTTGAACTCACAGAGATCCGCCTGCCTGTGCCTCCCAAGTGCTGGGATTAAAGGTGTGCGCCATCAACGCCCGGCTCAGGCTTGTGCTGTCTTGCCTATCTTTTTCTGCTGAACCTTTCTTTACCCTCTACCCTTCTTTGTTTTTAAATATTTTTTTAAATTTATTTTTGTGGGTATTTGGCTATATATATGTTTGCACCACCTGAATGGAAATGGAGTTACAGAGATGGTTGTGAGCGTGGGTGCTGAGAAATCAAACCCGGGTTCTCTGAAAGAGAACCCAGTGCTCTTAACCACTGAGCTGTTTCTCCAGCCATTGTTACCACCACCACCATCATCATTATCATTATTTTGAGATGTAGAACTCACTTGGTAGACCAGGCTGGCCTTGACCTCTCAGAGATCTGCCTGCTTCTGTTTCTTGAGTGCTCACATTAAAGGAATGTGCTGTCACCTGCCTAAAAATTTTTTTTTAATTGTATACTTCTGTGTCAGCATATGAGTGCAGGTGCCCAGCGAGGCCAGAAGTGTCAGATCTCCTGAAGTTGAAATTACAGGTGGTTGTGAGGTGCCAGACATAGTGCCTGGAACCAATTTCAAGTCCTGCACAAGATATATGTTCTTAACCACTGAGCTGGTTTCTCTACCCCACCACCCACCCACCCACCCACCCATGCATCCATCCATTTTGGGTTTTTTCGAGACTGAGTTTCTCTGTGGCTTTGGAGGCTGTCCTGGAACTAGCTCTTGTAGACCAGGCTGGTCTCGAACTCACAGAGATCCGCCTGCCTCTGCCTCCCGAGTGCTGGTATTAAAGGCGTGCGCCACCAACGCCCGGCTGATTTTTACTTTTAAGTTGTAATTTTTTTTACAATTTTTTTTTTATAATGGGTTGCTAAAAAGTAACTTGGAATTTGATGAGATTGTTTTTAATGAAGAATATTTTAATGGAAAACTAACTGACAAGGCATAATTAAATAATTTGGTTCAAGTTGGCTTAGTAGTATAGATAATGAAGGAATAATGTTTCCCTTTATCTCCTTAGGATAGCAGTGAAATACATTTCAAAGTGAAAATGACAACACATCTCAAGAAACTCAAAGAGTCATACTGTCAAAGACAGGTTTGTATATTGTGACATTAAATATAGTGCTTTGCCATAAAGTTTTCTTTTCTGAAGGTTGTTAAAAGACATTGTATTTTTACCATTAGAGACTTAAGGAGAACACCCTAGTGTTAATCTGTCATTAATCATCATACACTGTTCTTTTCCTCTTGTGACCCATTACAAAGTTTTAATTAATAGGATATAGAAAAAGTTTGAAATTAACTCACTTTTACTGACTGCTCAAATGAATATTTTTGCCTGGTTGGTTTACCTCTGTATATAACAATAAAAGGTTAGGACTAGGGTTTTGGTGATTATTGTGAAATTTCCCTGTGCTTCTAACCATGAGTTTTAGGCCATATATCAAATTTAAATCTATAGTTTGTTTTCTTGGCACTGGAAATATGGCTCAGCAGGTAAGAGCACTAACTGCTCTTCCAAACGACTTGGGTTCAATTCCCAAGCCCTACTTATTGGCTTACAACCATCTGTATGTAGCTCCAGTCCTAGAGGATCTGAGGCCCTCCTGTGAGCACAGCACACACATGGTGTACAGACATATAGGCAGGCAAACATCCAAATCCATAAAAAAATACTTAAAAATAGTTTTTTCTTTATACATGATTCAGATTGCTGCTAATTACATTTCATATTTTCAAGCATATTTCAGAATTATCCTTTAAAAAGAATCTGTATGGGGGCTGGAGAGATGGCTCAGTGGTTAACAGCACTGGCTGCTCTTCCAGAGGATCTGGGGTCAATTCCCAGCACCCACAGGACAGCTTATACCTGTCAGCTGGAGTTTCAGGACTTCTGATACCCTCACACAGACATACATACAGGCAAAACACCAATGAACATAAAAAGAATATCTGTATAGTTGACTGTATTCACACGTAAGTTCAAGAATAAATGAAATCTTCAGCTCCAGCTAAAAATGTTCTAGGATAGCCAGAATACCCTGCCTCAAATACATAAATATATGAGTGTAAGAATGTATTTTATGCTGGGTATGTGGGATACACCTTTTATCCCAACACTGATGGGGTGATGTAGGCAGGAGGTCAAGAGTTCAAGGTTGGTTATTTTCCACTATATAAGAAATTTGAGGCCAGCCTGAGCTGCATGAAGTCCTGTTTCATAAAACTAAAAGCAACACAAGAAAAATAATACATTAGAGATAGCCAAGGTTGACTTTTTTGTTTGTTTGATTTGAGACAGAGTATGACACAACCTTGATTGTCCTGGAACTCACTATGTAGATCAGGCTGACCTGGAACTCAGATCCTTCTACCTCTGCTCCCTGAGACTTGAGTGCTAGGATTAAAGGTGTGTACCATCACACCTGATGTGTTTTAATATCTTTAATTTTTTTCAGGGACAGTGTTTAAACACCCACAGATAAAAGTGTCTTAAGTTAGTTTTTTTTTTGTAAGTTAAATTTTGTTTGTGTATGGTGTTTGTCTGCATGTATGTCATGTATGCCTGTGCATTACATACATTCAGTGCCCTCTGATGTCAGAAGAAGGCATTGGACCCCCCAGGAATAGAGTTACGTTAGCTGCCATGTGGGTGCTGGGAGTTGAACCTGAGTCTTGGAAGAACAGCCAGTCCTCTTAAACACTAAGCTATCTGTCTAGCCCTTAAATAGGTGATTTTTGATTCTTCCTAATGAAGTTATTTTTCTCTAAATGAGTTATCTCCCCTTTAGCTATCATGTTGAAACAGTTAGAAAAATACAAACATGTTTTGTGACATTTAGACATAACGTGTTCTAATATGTTATATGTATGGTGTGTGTGTGTGTAATCTGTTTTTTGCTTTACCAAATTCTTTGGATTTATTGTTTAAAAACAACTGTGCATATATAATTAGAAGGTCCTTATTTGCTTTTATACTATCTCAGGGGAAATGAATACAGTAGTGGTTTGGAGGATAGGTTTATCAATCATTTTGAGATAAAATTCTTAGCTTCTTTTATCTACAAGCTTTTATCTACAGGCCTTAAGCTCCCTAGTTGTAAAATGAAGGTGAGGTGGTAGTAGCTTCTTGAGTCTTTGCAAAGAACATTATGAATGCATATAAAGTACAGGATAGCCTTCCTAACAAATAATTAGTTCTCATTATATGGTAATTATGGTTGAATGGGTGATCTAATTTTATGACCTATGTAGCTTGTTAAACCTTTATGCTTTTTCCTTTTTAGGGAGTTCCAATGAATTCACTCAGGTTTCTCTTTGAAGGTCAGAGAATTGCTGATAATCATACTCCAAAAGAAGTAAGTATGATTTATCTTCTGAATCACACTTTTGAAATAAATAAGATTCAGTGATAGAGCATGTGCTTAGTGTGCATGTGTTCCAGAGTTTGAACCCTAGCACCAAAATAAAAGAGAAAAAACAGTAAGTTCTAAAAATTGATATTTGCTGGGCAGTGGTGGCATACGCCTTTAATGCCAGCACTCAGGAGGCAGAGGCAAGCGGATCTCTTGCCTCTCTGTGAGTTCAAGAGTTCGAGACCAGCCTGGTCTACAAGAGCTAGTTCAAGGAAAACCTCCAAAGCCTTGAAAAACCAAAAAAAAAGTTCCTTATTTATTATGTGTATGTTCATATACACATATGTTCATGAAGGTCATGATGCATATGTGAGGTCATTTCTCTCTAACATGGGCATCCTGGGGGTAGTAAGTCCATGGGGACAAAAAACAGGTTTTTCCTTGGGGCTCAGAGGTTAAGGCTACTTGTTGCTCCTGCAGAGGACCTGGTTTCAGTTCCCAGCACCACATGATATACCATCTGTAACTCTACTTCCAAGGGATCTGAAATCCTCTTTTTTTGGTTTGCCTCTGCCTTCACTTCCTGAGAGCTAGGATTAAAGGTGTGCACCACCACCACCCAGCTGGAAATAAATCTTCTTTTTCTTCATTTATTATGTATAATATTGTATGCCTGCCTCAGATCTCATAGATGGTTGTGAGCTACTGTGTAGTTGCTGAGAATTGAACTCAGGACCTCTGGAAGAGCAACCAGTGCTCTTAATCTCTGAGCCATCTCTCCAGCCCCTAGAAATAAATTAAAAAAAAAAAAAGGCAATTTTTCCTTCTTAGATGACATGACTCATCGCAGTGAAAGCACTTGCTGCCACGTTTTGCATCCCATCCCCAGAATTCACATACTGGAAGGAGAGAATTAACTATATAAATTTGTCCTCTGACTTCCACACACAAGCCATGGTACATTTGACTGTCTTCTTCCCACATCTCATACACACATACCTACATACATAAGTAATAAAATGAAAATCTGTTGAGATTCCCCTGTGTACTTGTCAAAAGTGCCACTAAGAAGAGGGTAAAGCAAAGATTGAGTATGGGATAAGGCATCTATGATAACCCTATTAGAGACAGACACATCTTATATTTGATCAATTTCTGGTACTTTGATGGTGATAGTGACCTCAGAAACTGAACTTGGGAAATCTAGAGCAGTCCTTACAGTCTTTTTTGATTTTTCCAGACAGGGTTTCTCTGTGTAACAGCCCAGGCTGGCCTTGAACTCACAGAGATCTGACTGCCTCTGCCTCCCAAGTGCTGGGATTAAAGCGTTGCACCTCTACCACTGGCCGGTCCTTTTTGTTGCTGTTGTTGTTTGAGACAGGGTTTCTCTGTGAAGCTTTGTAGATCAGACTGGCCCCAAACTTACAGAGATCCTCTTGCCTCTGCCTCCCGAGTGCTATCACCACTGCCCAGTTTATAAAGTCTTTGGTTTTGTTTTTTTGGTTTTTCGAGACAGGGTTAAGGTCCTTGTTTTTTAAGAGTATAGATAGTCCTTTGTGTTTGTTTATAAAAATGTTTTCATAATCGTGATTGTAAAATTGTTTTCCTACTTAGCTATTAGTTTTGATAAGTCATGATACAAGTTTGACTATCTTTTGTGGCATTTAGAGTTATCTTTGTCATTAAAGGGTTAATTTACTTTGCTAGCTTTTTTCTTTTTTCAAATTCTTAGGATTTACTATTTTAAACTAGTTTTGGTAGGAGTATTACAGAGTGAAGCTGTATATTTCTGAGTATGACATGGTGTCTCTCTGTCCCATTGGGGGCAATGTTGATTTCCTTTGTTTATTTTGTTTTTTGAGACAGGGTATCTTTCTGCAGAGCTATGGCTATCCTGGGAATTCACCATGTAGATCAGGATTGCCTTGAACTCACCTCCTCCATCCCTGCCTTCCATTAAGAATAATGCTAACTTTGTTGACTCATGATAATTGCCAGATTCATCCACTGTAAAGTTACTGTATTAGGGTTCTATAGTGGAACAGAACTGATAAATATATATAAAGGAGATTTATTAGAGTGGTTTACAGTGGCTGTCTACCAATGGGAGGTCCAGGAATCCAGTAGTTGTTCAGTCCATGGGGCTGTATGTCTCAGCTCATTTTGAGTATCCTGAAGAAATGGGCTCTAAACCAATAAAGGAATGCCAGGGAGAGTGGACAAAGGGACAGAGTTCAAAAACTTCCTTCTTGGCAGGCGTTGGTGGCGCACACCTTTAATCCCAGCACTCGGGAGGCAGAGGCAGGCGGATCACTGTGAGTTCGAGACCAGCCTGGTCTACCGAGCGAGTTCCAGGACAGCCTCCAAAGCCACAGGGAAACCCTGTCTCGAAAAACCAAAAACAAAAAAAAAAAAACAAAAAAACAAAAACTTCCTTCTTCATGTCTTTTATATAAGCTGCCACCAGAAGGTGTGGTCCATATTAAAGGTGGATCATCCTATCTTTAGAGATCCAGATTAAGCCTAACTGGGTGTAGTTTCCAGATGCAGGCAGGTCTCAGAGCTGGAGGACAGCCTAGGTGGTCTATAAACCAAGTTCTAGGATGGTTGGGACCACACAGAAACCCTGTCTCAAAAAACTGAACTAACTAAAAAGATCCAGATTTTGAGACAGTCTCATAGCCCAGGCTGGCTTGGGACTTACTGATGGTCTTAAACTCCTTATCCTCTTACTTCCACTTCCCAGGTGCTGGCCTCACAGAAGGAGAATTTCTTTTTTGGTTTTTTGAGACAGGGTTTCTCTGTGGCTTTGGAGGCTGTCCTGGAACTCGCTTTGTAGACCAGGCTAGTCTCAAACTCACAGAGATCCACTTGCCTTTGCCTCCCGAGTGCTGGGATTAAAGGCGTGCGACACTACCTCCCGGCTAGAGGGTTTTAATTACAGATGACACTTGTTTCTTCTTGTACTTTAAAATAGTGGCCACATAATTGCATTCAATGTAAAAAGTTTGCTTTTATAGTACAGTATTAACCTACTTCTCTTTTCTTTCAGCTGGGAATGGAGGAAGAGGATGTGATTGAAGTTTATCAGGAGCAAACTGGGGGTCATTCGAGGGTTTAGATAATTCTTTTTATTTTTTTCCTTTTCCCTCAATCCTTTTTTATTTTTAAAATAGTTCTTTTGTAATGTGGTGTTCAAAATGAAGATTGAATACTGGCACTCCATCTCTTTTAGACCATCTGGTAATCTGAATTATAGTGTTCAATATTCATTATTGGTTGTTTTTGTTGTGCTGATTTTTGGTGATCAGACCTCAGCTCCCATAATATTGCCCTTCTTATTTTAAAAAAATTCATGTGTGCACAGAGAGGCCACCCTTTTCAGGACTGTGCATTTCAGGTTTGTGATGATAAAAAGATCAACTAGTGGGAGCTTTCCTATGACCTTCCAATTGGCCCTGAAGTTCCAGCATGCAGTTGCCTCACTCCTGGACTGTGATTTTCAGTGGGAGATGGAACTTTTTCAGAGAACTGAACTGTGGGAAAATGATCTTTCCTCAGCTTGAAGCTACTTTTAAAATATGAGGGTCTGGACCAAAAGACGAATATCACATTTGTAGTCAAGATGACAGATACAGTGAGAGTAACAACTAACTCCAAAGATGGCTTCACTGGAGAGGAAGAAGCGTCCTTGAGAGTAAGACAGGCTGTCTGAAGATCCCAGGAAAGCAGTTAGTAACAGTTACTCATGCAGAAGTGTATGCAACAGACACTGCTCCTTTTGATTCTGTTTGTACTTTTTGGCCTGGGACATGGGTTTTCAAGGGACATCGTCTGTACCAGCTTCATTAAAAATAAACAATATTTGTAAAAACCGTACTAAAGTTCCTTTTATTTTAGTTATGTAGGGAGAAAAATGAAAATGTCCCAGATAGGATTTTCTTGCTTGAGTGTATTTCTTTCGTACTGTATAGACTGTATAGCTATGACCTTAATGACTTTGAAGCAATGGAAGTTACAGGGGTACCTTGTTAATTAAGCATTTAGTTATGATCACAATGTCTTTTTAAAAACTTGGCTGTCCTGTCTTTTTCGATTGTGTTATTCTTGGATGGTGCACATATACCATTACTGGTTTTATTTTTTTTTTCCTTTTAGAGTACTTTTAAAATCCCAATGAGTCACAGGATTAGGTATATGTACACATTCAATTTCATGTTATTCTAAGTACAGTGTCTTCTGCCTGCTTTAGCAAATAAACCTGTCTCAGGTGCATTTTATAAACTGTTAGCAGCTTACATACCCTTCTCAGGTAACTTGTTCAAAAAGTATATTGCTTGAAGCTCTTATATTTGACCCAGACTTTATTTGTATTGTACAAATTGGAGCTTTTAGACTGCCTCCTGGCATTTTACACTTATGTTCTGGAAATAGTAACTAGAAATTAGGTTCAGTTGTAGAAAATCTTTGAGTTGCATCATTTGTCAAGACCAACCAATAGATTTTATTGGTTATTTGAGCTATTCAGAATTCATATAGTTCACCATCTTAAATTTTTTTATCTCTAAATGGAAGCTTTAAGCATTTAATGGTGGAGCTTAGTTTTAGAATAATTTTTGTTTTGGGGATTTTGGGGGGAGTCTTCTACTGTTGACCTAAAAAATATACTCAATTGACATAGTAGTGCTGTTAAAACAGACACTTGAAGCACAAATTTAATAGATGATGTTTGGGAAGGACCCCAAGTAGTATTTATTAACCACTCTTATCTGGTGCTTGATTTCAGCATCCTAAATTTGCAAAAGGGAAAAAAACAAGCAGTTAATGTTTTCCTTGCATATTTATTCTTGAGTGCTTGTTAATTACTATTGAATTTGCAAATAGGTTTAACAAAAACTTAGTGCTATTTAAGTTTACTATAATCTTATCTATTGTGTTTGGCCATTTTCTATTTTACATGATACAAGGAGTTAATTCCTGTAGTATAGAATGTAAAAATAGCTAAATTTCTAGGCTGGAGAAGTGTAATTACTGTACCTTGTGAGTATTAGTGGGGAATTACCTGTAAACACTGTTCTTTACTTATGGACAGTGTGATGATTAAGTCTTCATTGTCATCTTGCCTGAGTTTAAAGTCACTCTGGAAAGACCTCCGGGTGTGTGTCCAGAAAGGTTTGATGTGGGAATTCCTACCCTGGGTGGGGTCGCTGCCATTCTGTGGGACCCAGCACTGAGTGAGGCTAAAGTGGGTGAGGTGCTGGCATTCATCTCTGACTTGACTACTGATGCAGTAACCAACTGCTTACCTCTTTAAGGGGTTTTTTGGGGTGTGTGTATAGTTTTGTCGCAGTAATGTGATTAAAAGTTAGGAAAATTGGGCTGGGGATGTGGCTCAGTGGTTAAGAGCACTGGCTGTCTTCTAGAGGACCCGGGTTTGATTTGCAGCACTCATGGCAGCTCACAACTCTTAACTCCAGTTCCAGGGGCTCTTACACAGACATACAGACATATATAACATATATAACACCCTTACACAGACATACATGCAGGCAAAACAACCAAAATTAGCAATGCACATGAAATAAAAACAATTTTAAATTGGGAAAATTCAGATACTACTTGGTTTTTAACACCCTTTTCTTTCTTACAATTTCTCTTCTGTGATGCTTTCTTTCTCCCTCCCCCCTGCTTTGTTTTTCGAGACTGGGTTTCTCTGTGTTACAGGCTGGAACTAGCTTTTGTAGACCCAACTGACCTCTGCCTCCCCAGTGCTGGGATTAAAAGGTGTACAACACCACTGCCTGTGATGTTTTGTTAAGAAGGATGTTTGTTAGACATTAAAAAGAGCCGTTAAAGGACAGCCTCAAGTCACAGAAACCCTGTCTCGAAAAACAAAAAAAAAAAAAAATGGTTAAACGACTTAAGACCTACTAGGATGAAGTCTTAGTTTTATGAGTATGTTCTTCAAGACACAGTTGGGAAAAAGTCTCAAGATTTGTTGGTTCTCAAGGATCAAAAATAATGAAGTTTCTAAGGTGATGAAATAGTTTTATTTCTTTGCTGATGTAGTCACCGGCAACAACCTGTGGCCATTGAACATTTAACTGTGACATGTTGCTCTAGATCTGTGCTTTGAGGACAGAATTTCCTCATGAAACAGCTCATTTTGCTCAGGTGAACCTGTATCAAGTGATTCCAAACATCCCTTCAAAAAGATTTGTTTTATATTCCCAGGATGAATTGTAGGTTGTGTCTTATAGAGCGATTTCTTTTTTTTTTTTTTTCTCGAGACATGATTTCTTTGTGTAGCTTTTAGACTAGGCTGGCCTCGAATTCACAGAGATCCATCTGCCTCTGCCTCCTGAGTGTTGGGATTACCAAAGACATACACCACCACTGCCTGGCTGGAGGGATTTCCTAATATATGATTAGCTCCTTTTAGTTAATCCAGTTATTGCATGACAAAATGTTCAATCACCATCAACTTTTGAACACATTGAACACAGTATACTAAGACTGCTAGTGTCTCCAACTTTAACAATATGGAATGGTAGTTTAGGCACCATGGCTTTTGAACTTACATGGTCCTAAAAACAGAATTTAAGTAAGTGAAAAGTTAATTGGGCCCGAGTGTGTGGAGTATTGCAGGAATGCTGGGGGGGATAGAGAGGTTCCAGGGTAAAGAAAGTGGGAGGTACGGGTTGAGGTCAGATGAAATGGGACGAATTGAGCTCAGGCTAGTTTTACTATAGAAGTATACCTTTTTCTGTCACCACATCTCAACTTACTTTTTTTATTTTCTTTTAGCCTTATGGCTTGGGGATTTGTAGGAACTGGAAATATGAGTAGACCCATGGTCTGGAAATGTTCTGTGTCCACTGCAGACCACTGGCTTCCTTTAAGAGTTCTTGATGAAAGTGAAGATGTTTTTCCAAAGCAGCTTTTTGCCTAAGGAGACAACCCCACCCCCAGTTCCAAAAATGATTAATCATTCAGTCTTCTAAATTGGTAGGGTTTTGGGTTTGGGTTGTATGATTACCACATTTGGGTTATACTCTGTTCATTTAGTGCCTTCCATGAGAGTTTTGGGGGCATCATAGGATTCCTATAGAAAAGGAAGAAGGAAAGCGGTAGTTTCCAGTTCTTAAACTTGGGTTGTGGAAGGGATTCCTTTGCTTGTTTGCTTGCTTTATTTGTTTTTGTTTTGTTTTGAGATAGGGTCTCCTTGCTAGCCCTGGCTGTCCTGGAACTTGGTATTTAGACCAGACTGACCTCGAACTCGCAAGATCTGCTTGCCTCTGCCTCTGCCTCTGCTTACTGAGTGCTGGAATGAAAGTGGATTCCCTTGCTTTAGAGAAGGAAACAACAGAGAAGCACAGGGGCAGATGTCACAGACAGAGATGGAGGGAAGTCAGCTGGCACTGATTTCCCGGTCTTGGAGGGATGAGACTACCCATTCTTTAGCGCTTGGTTTCCTGTCTCAGCTTCCTGGATTAGTTTTACGTAGTCACTCTTATTACCTCAATAACTAGTGTCAGTTTTTCTTGGAAAGTTGAGGTTCTAGTAGTTTGCTTTTTGTCTCATTACTATTACGATACATGATGTCTATCTATTGAAGCTGAACTTTTCTAATAACCTACTTTGTAATTCTAACAGCTGAAGAAAGTTCAGGGCAGAAACAACTCAAGGTTAATGAAGTCTTGAGAGTTCTGGTACCTTCTCTTTCTGGACCTCGTTCACTGGGGAGTTGGACCCAGGGCATACATAATTGGAATATTCTAACAACCTGCACAGTAGTCCTGGGATTCACTTTTTTTTTTTTTTTTTTGGTTTTTCGAGACAGGGTTTCTCTGTGGCTTTGGAGGCTGTCCTGGAACTTGCTTGGTAGTCCAGGCTAGTCTTGAACTTACAGAGATCTGCCTGCCTCTGCTTCCCGAGTGCTGGGATAGGATTCACTTTTTTTTTTTTTAAATGGGATTAATTTATCTGTAAACCAGAAGATTAAGATAAACAATCTTAAATTCTTGTCTAGCTTCAACACAAGTTTTATAAGCCATGACAGAGCACTGCCATGTTTGTAGCAGCAGAAGGCCCCTTGTGTTTTAGTCTTTCTAGCCATGCTAAGGCAGTACAAGATGAGCACTGGCACCAGATCAAGCCTCTAACGTGCCCTGACAGCAGCCGGTGTCCAGCTCTCCAGTACCTGGTTTGTTCCTGTACAAGTTCTGCAGCTTCCTCCAGAGCCAGCCTTGCTGCTTCCTCTTCCTGTTGCCTCCTCTCCTCAGCCTCCCGCCTGGCCTTCTCCTCTGCTTCTTCTTTCTGCCGCTGGTACTCCAGCCGTTCTTCTTCTGCCATTTCCATCAGGCGTTTCTGTTCTTCTGCTAACTGCATTTCCAGTTCCTTCTGCCGTTGCTTCTCTGCAGAACAGAAAGAGGTGGGCTCAGCAGGGGGCACCAGTAGAGCAGCTGATGTTTCCGGTCTACCTTGCCAATCTTCGAGAGACTCTGTGGGTTTGCTAATCCAAATCCTCTGGCAAAGTGCCTATGGCTGGCTTTAAGTCTTAGGGAAGGTTTTCCCAGACTGTGAGTTCACCGGGTATTGTGCAGCTGTGTGGGGAGGAGCATCAGACTAGGGTTTAGAGAAGCATGCTGATTTAACAGCACACTGACTAATCTAAAGGATGTGAACCGGGAATTGACCACAGCATCATCTATTGAACTTTCTGCCTCATCCAGAAAAGTATCCTGGAAGAGTACCTGGTCCATACCTGAAGGTGTGGATTGAGGCTCTCCAGATATTTGTGACTATCTCTATCTGCCAGAGGAATGGGGCAAATAGAGCACTTTGGGTAGCTCTTGAGCAAGCTGACAAGGGCAATTACTGTACCAGAAGTCCGACCCTGCAATCATTTCTACAAGAGTCTTCTGTTCATATCCCATCCTTTTATATCAACCCTCTATAGTCAGACATAATTACCATTCTGGGGAAAAAAAACACCAAAAAACCAAAAACAACAACAAAAAACACCCCCAAACCAAAAAAAAAACAACTAGCTTACACATGCGGAGTGCATTGTGCACAGAGGCCTAGGATAGCAATAAAAGAGTGCCCACGGAGCCGGGCGTTGGTGGCGCACGCCTTTAATCCCAGCACTCGGGAGGCAGAGGCAGGCGGATCTCTGTGAGTTCGAGACCAGCCTGGACTACCGAGCGAGTTCCAGGACAGCCTCCAAAGCCACAGAGAAACCCTGTCTCGAAAAACCAAAAAAAAAAAAAAAAAAAAAAAAAGTGCCCACGGTGGGTTTAAAGTATTTTTGGAAGCTCAGGAATCCTCTCACCGGCCCTCTCCACCTCCTCCTGCTGCCGCTTTCTCTGCAGTTCCTGCAGTCTCCTCCGGAGCTGCTCCTGCTGCTGCCAGGCTCTCTCCTGGGCAGCCTGCAGCTGGAGTCTCCGCTTCCTCTCCACTTCCTCCTGCCGCTGCCGTTCCTCCTCCAGCCTCTGCTTCCTCAGGCTGGGAACACAGGAGGTATCACGGGAATGGCAGAAAATACAGGTCAACCAACCGATACTTGGCTTTGTAGCCTTGAGGCGTCAGGAAGTGCCCCCCCCCCACAGAGAACAGATTTCTACAGCCAGGATTGAAGGGCAGAGCTGAGACAGGGGTCTAGAGGACCAAACTAGAAGTTTCAGCATGCAGCTCAGTGCTGTTGCCCAGGATTTAAGTGCCTTGGGTTCGCTGCACTTTCTTTTCTTTCTTTCCTCCTTTCTTTTTCTTTTTGGTTTTTCGAGACAGGATTTCTCTGTATTGTTTTGGAGGCTGTCCTGGAACTCGCTCTGTAGACCAGCCGACCTTGAACTCACAGAGATCCGCCTGCCTCTGCCTCCCGAGTTCTGGGATTAAAGGCGCACGCCACCAACGTCCAGCTCTATTTTCTATTTTTTAATAAACTTACTTTATGTGCATGGGTAGTTTGCCTGCATGCATATGGGTATCTCCTGGAACCGGAGTTACAGACAGTTGTGAGCTGCCATGTGGATGCTGGGAAATGAACCCGGGTCCTCTAGAGGAGCAGCCAGCGCTTTTAAGCGCTGGGCTTTCTCCAGTGCCTTTATTTTCTATTCTTAAAATATGGATCTTGAATTCTTGCCTCAGGGTTGTGGAGATGAAGTTTGAGTGAAGATCTGAGAAAGAGCCCAGTACATTGTGCACAATGACAAGAGCTTGCCACATGCGGGCCTGAATCTCAACGCCTTCCCCCGAATTCCGTGGTCAAGACAGTATCTCATCTCTGGTCCAGGTTGTTACCGTAAGCCTTAGCACTGAGCTATGCACACCCCTGGGGAAGACCTGCCCTTCGAGTCTGGTCCGCGGCCTCACCGGATCTCCTCAGCGCGCATCTGCTGCTCCAGTTCTAGCTCCTCCTTCATCTTCTCTGCTCTCTCCAGCTGCTCCTTATGGAGCCGGGTCAACTCCTCCTGCTCCCTTCTCTTCCGCTCCACCTCCAGCCGCCTCATCTCTGCCCTCTCTAAACGAATTCTCTCCCGGGAAGCCTTCTCCCGCTGTCTCTTATCCAGGAGGGCCTAAGAAACCAGACTGCTGTAAGAGTAAGGCGCAGACCCAGCTGCAGCCCAGATAGGGTTTTCTCTGATCAGAGATGGAATTCTAAAGCTGACTCCACACTACCTCTACCTGGCTGGCTGGCTGTGGGACTGGCCTGACCTACATTCAAGTCTTTCTCTTGCTTTGGGATTGGGGGAGCATGGCTTTCCTGATAGGATCAACCTTCATGAACAACGACGTCCAGATGTGCCAACATACTGTCCCGCTGTGTCAGAAGTGATGGCCTTTACGGCCCTAGCTGCACTTCAGAACTGCCCAAGGATCTTGGTCCAACTTGGTCTACTTGGTCCAACAAATGAAAATCTCGGGAGTGGCGAGTGGGGTGGGATAGGGGTGGGGCTCCTGGAATTTTAAAAACTTGGAACTTGAAGTTGGGGCTGGAAGGCTGTTTTAGCAGCATGGTGGTGGTGCACACCTTTATCCCTAGCACTCGGGAGGCAGAGGCAGGCGGATCTCTGTGAGTTTGAGGCCAGCCTGGTCTACAGGACAGCCAGGGCTACACACAGAAACCCTGTCTCAAAAAGAAAAAAAAAAAAGACTGTTTTACCAGATGTTTTCATGACTCTAGAGGAGTCAGACTCAGTTAATCTCCTATTTCAGTGAAGGTTTTCTTTTAGCTTTTCCTTTCTTTTGCTCTCCAATGCTGCCTCCTTATGCAGTCACATTTCTAGGTGGGGAACATAGATAAGCTCTGTCCTACCTGGAGTTCAAACTCTTTGGTTCTGCAGAAACTACATGCTATTATGGATTGACAATAAATCTAAGAAATTCTAATGATCTAGAAAGTTCTGCTCATAGATTAAAATCTCCATCCATTGTGCAGAGCAGAGTTCTTCGATCTAGGCAGCTGAGAAGGTCTGAGGACCCTAAGGGGAAAAGGTCCCTGAAACTTGGGGACACTGTGCCATTAAATAAACAAGCAATTATTTAAAATAGTGACAAGAATTTTGAACCGGAGTGACTAGACCTGAGGTCAAGCCTTGGCTTAGCCCCTGAATGGTTGTTCTAGCAATTGCCATTAAACTTGTAGTTTTGGTCTCTAGTGTGCAAACTGAGGCTGACTACACTTGTTTCACAAGTGTGATTTTAAAGATTAAATGAGGTGCAGTAGTGTTTATTGAATGCACATGGATTCATAGAGGCTTGACCTGTGTGCTGTGGTGTTTGAAGATATTTTGGAGTACAAAGTCTCTAGATGCAGTTGTGTATCCTAGTGAAGATTCCAATGGCAGAAGTAACATGCGCCAAGAGATGATGTATGTGAATCCTATTCTTTTTTGTTTGTTTGTTTTTTGAGACAGGTTTTCTCTGTGTAGTCCTGGAATTCACTCTGTAGAAGCTGTGCTGGCTTTGAACTCACAGAGATCCACCTGCCTTTACCTCCTGAATGCTAGAATTAAAGGTGTGTGCCATCACTGCCTGGCTCACTCAATTTTCTATTCAAACGTTCATCTTACAGCCAAGGCCACTGGAACACAGCAACTCATGGAAAAGCAGCCTGAAAGCAGGTGCATGTCTAGGAACTGCGGGGTCTAGTTGTATGCCACAGTCTTTGTAATGTGCCAGGCCAAGCTGAGGCTGTGGCTTGATTCTACCTTTCTGTGTCCCAATGAGACACGTATTTCTCACAGATGGCTTCCATACTTCCCTCCTACGCTTTAGGGTTGGATACATTCCTTGGCAGTTTGGGACGTCATAGAATACCTCACTTACTTCAGAGAGTTGAAACCTCTTGCTTTGTGTCTTTGATCAGGTCTGGCTTCTAACTAGGGTCTGAAGGCACCAAAGTAGAACAAGTAAGGCCACCACGTGCCAGGTGCAGTGTCACATGCCTTTAATCCCATCACCCGAGAGGCAGAGGCAGGAGGATCTCTTGTGAGTTCAAAGCCAGCCTGGTGCACAGAGTGAGTTCCAGGACAGCCTCCAAAACAATACAGAGAAACCCTGTCTCAAAAAAAAATCACTTAATGTAGCTGTTTCAGAAAATACTGACTATTTAGGGACATTTCTCTCACATCTGCAGTTCTGCCAAGTGGGGACAGAGCTTCCTCTGGCCAAGAGGAGAGAACACCTGCCCATACCTTGGAAGGGTCTTCAGGATGTCTCTCTTCCTCAGAACCTGTGTTGCTAGTGACACCTGTGGCCTGTGTGGGTGATGCTCTCCCGTCTATGGACACCTGGCTCTCCAGAGCATCATAGTCATGAGAAAGCCAAGGGTCCTCAGTGGCACAGTGTGAGCGGAGGAGCCCTCTGTCTGAGGTGCCACCTGCTTCCTTGGAGTTAGTGACGCTGGGCTCACTCAGCTCTGCGGCCATCTCCACGTTCCTCTCTTTGTGCGCCCTTTTCTCTTTGGTTCCTGGTTTCTTTTCTTTCGGGACGAGCTCCGGTTTCTTTTCAGCTTTTGAGTCCTTTAACTTTCCTGGGGAAACAACGGTGACAGAGGTAGAAGAAATGTGACCTCTATTCATTCTCTTTAGTAACCTTTTCCCCCCTTGAGACAGGGTCTCACTGTACAGCTCAGGCTGTCTTGGAACTCACTATATAGACAAGACTGGCCTCAAGCTCACAGAGTTCCTCTTGGTCCTCTTGGGTGCTGGGATTAGAGGCGTGTGCCACCACACTTGGCTCTTTAATACCTTTTAAGATTAGGCATGCATTGGGATGAAGTGGTGTGCTTATCCCTGAATCCATCCCCAGAATCTAGGGGAATAGAATCTGTAATAGTGATTAGAGAAGAGCTGCTCTGCATTGTATTTAGATCACTACAGATGCAACCACACAGTAGTGTCACTGCTGGAAAGGTTGCAGCTCTGACAGCAGACACAGATAAAGGGTACAGCATGCATGCACTTAGTACATAGGGCCCTAGGGCCCATCCCTGGGGCCAGAAGCAAAGAGAGGTCCCATCCCACCCTGATGACCAGGGGCAGGACTTCTGGGGAGAATCTCAGCACATCTGACAAGTCCTGCCTAAGGCTACAGCTCTAACCGGGTGAATTTTAATACTCCCAGGATCAAGGACATTTGTTTTCCCTACTCCTGGCCATGCCAAAGGCTAGACAAATGTAAATGCAGCAAGAGAGTAAAAGACAAACTTCAAAACCAAATCTGTCTCTAGGGGCGAATCCAATGTTGTCCTTGCAATAAGATGTGATTTGTTTAAAGTGTATTCAAATCTTGGGAGCACTAGCGGGCAGGCGTGAGTTTTAAGCAAAGGAAGTTTGGAGACATCTGAGATCTTTTTTTTTTTTTTTTCCCCGAGACAGGGTTTCTCTGTGGCTTTGGAGGCTGTCCTGGAACTCGCTCTTGTAGACCAGGCTGGTCTCGAACTCACAAAGATCCGCCTGCCTCTGCCTCCCGAGTGCTGGGATTAAAGGTGTGCATCACCAATGCCCGGCGAGACATCTGAGATCTTATAAGGCAAAGAAGGACACTGAGAAGGGCGATGGTAGGAGAACCCTCAGACTCTAGTTCTCTCTCCACTTCTGAACACTCTCACCGCCTAGGCTTGGCATCCCTTTCCGGAGATGTTCAGGACCAGAAGCATTTCAGATGGAGGATGCTTTCTGGTTTTAGAATATTTACACATACATTAAATTCATATAATATAAAATCCTGTCGATGGGACCCAAGCCCAAGTCTATAACTGGTTAATGTTCCATATACACTTTTGACCCGCAGCCTGAAGGCAGTCTTATATATTTTTTTAAGGTAGGAAGGGGTTTTATTCAGAACCAAAATGAAACTGTAGGCCAAATATATGGCAAGACCTGAGCGGAGTGTTCACGAGCCTTCCCAGTATCTTCTCCTTGTGTGGATGTTCAGCAAGGTTTAGACTTGGGACAGTTTGCATTTTGGCTTTTCATTTTAAGGATCCCAGCCTGTAGCTATTAGCTCACAGCGGCAGCAGTAGTGATGCACACTGGGACTCAAATGGGAAAGGACAAACCCTGGGTCCACTTTTCCTCTGAAGCCATTTACCCAACCTCTCTCAGCCTCAGGTACCCAAACAGCATGGTGGCACTCATGTCAACACTCCCAGAGTGCTGTTAATGTCATCCCCTCTCATGGTTGACACAGGTCTCTACCGGACCATGGTTTCCTCTGCCCATTGGCACTGAGACACTGCCGTGAAATCAGGCTACAAAGCCAACTTGGCCAGGCAGTCAAACAAAGCTTGACCCAAAGGAACCAACTCCATTGTCCATATTACCTTCTTGCCTGTTGGAAGTCTTCTGAGTGATTCCTCACAGGCGTACTTCCTTACCTCCAACAGCCTCTGCCTGCCTCAGGACCCTTCCTTCTCTCTCTGTTTTGGGTGCTCTGGCCTTGTCTGTTTTGGTTCTTTTCTTCCTGTTAGCCTTGTCAACCAAGTTCCTTCCCTAAAGGAAGAAATTCAGCAAGAGGACTGTGATACACATAGGGAATAAAAGAGTTTACCAAGCGAAGATTACACTGGAAGAACATACGGTGACAGAGACTTAGAAGGAATATGTTCTGGATGAAGCAGATGGCCAGCTTCAGAGTGTGGAGCTAGGGGGGGAAGGGCACTTTTTTTTTTTTTCTGGAGCTAAGGATTGAATCCAGAGCCTTGCTAGGCAAGCCCTCTACCACTGAGCTAAATCCCCAACCCTGGCACCTTTTATTTGAAACGATTAGGAATAATTTCAGAGGAGAGAGAGAGTAAGAAAAACCCTTTATAGGCTGCCTTCTTTTTTGATGTTATGTCATCATCTGCCGAGCTTGAAGCAAAGGAAGCAGTCTGCTTGTTAGTGCTGCCATTGTTGGCTGACTGATTAAACTCGGAGCTGGCTTCATACTCCCTAATGCATCATGCGCTAACGTTCAGAAAACCCTAGGCAGGTAGCCAGAGCCACGCTAGCTTTTCCCTTTCCCTAGGGACTGTGACAACATGGAGGGTCTCCCTAAAAGAGGATGGCAGAGGGGGACCGTGGTTACCACTTGGTAGTTGTGTAGGGTTGGCAATGGGGGCCGTGCCCATTAGGAAGATGCAGCCTAGTGCAAGGCGCAGGGTCTGGTGAGCAGACAGTCACTGGACCTCTGCCTCCGTTACCCCTCTAGGGAGATGCTCTCTTTTATGCATTTATTTACTTATTTTAAACTTTATGTGCATTGATATGAAGGTGTCATAGCTCCTGGAACTGGAGTTACAGGCAGTTTGAGCTGCTATGTGGGTACTGGGAATTGAACCTGGGTCTTCTGGAAGAGCAGCCAGTGCTCTTAACCTCTGAGCCACCTCTCCAGCCCCTAGTGAGGTGCTCTTATCTACTAAGCAGCCTTCAGAAGTCTACGTGGAGCCTTGGAGGGATCCACGCAGGGTCTGGACCAGACTGTTCATTCTTACACTCACATGACTGATGGGAGCTGAGGTCCGCTGCTTGGATAATTGTGGCTCCGTTTTCTTATTCTTTTTGTTTGAAAGAAGAGATGCAGTCTTCTCTGGGGATGAAGGCTCATGTTCTGGCAGTCCTGTGTGCAGGTGGTACACACTGTGATCTCTGTCCCTTCGGAAAGAGCAAAGTCAGCAGAACAATTCAATGACCAAAACTTGAAGTGCGAGGAAAGAGCAGGCCAACAGCTGCCAACAGAACCACTGTTGGGATGTTTGACATGTTCAGGCAACTTTCTCCTTAACGTTCCTGCATAAGGGGGTTAGAAAGGGTGGTCTTCCCTTCTGGGGTTTCCTTAAGGTAAGTCCCAAATCGTAGACAATTGGAGAGACAGTTTGCTTCTTCTCACTGCATAATTACACCTTTAATTGAGAACTTGTTTGGAGGTTCTATCAGGGAGGCGTAACTACAAGGGGATCCTGGACCAAAGAAAGACGGGTCCTCTTCTGCTCGGGGAAGGTTTTCTTCTTCAGGGGAGACAACAGCTTTGGGAGGGACACACGTGGAGTTGTGAGAGAGGAAGGGATGCACATCTAGCCAGTCAAATCGGCTGGATCAACCCTGGCAACTGATCGATCAGTGGGGTGACATGCAGCAGTCAGACTGCCCTCACAGACAGCTACACAAGGATGTGGCTTTTAAGAAAGATGACCTCAGCCGGGCGGTGGTGGCGCACGCCTTTAATCCCAGCACTCGGGAGGCAGAGGCAGGCGGATCTCTGTGAGTTCGAGGCCAGGCTGGACCGACAGCCTCCAAAACAATACAGAGAAACCCTGTCTCGTAAAACCAAAAAAAAAAAAAAAAAAAAAAAAAAAGAAAAGAAAGAAAGATGACCTCAAAAACATGCACTGCCCCATTCATTCCCTTGCGTCTCTGAGTTTTATTCTTAATTGGATTCACCCACTATGAGGTCACGTGTGCTCAGTCTTGCGTGTCCTAGTGTCATTGCCATCACTGACTTATGCCTGCCAAGGACAGCAGCAGCAATACCATGTGCCCGCTTGGGTGCTGGGTCTCAGTCTGGGTCTTTTTTCTTTTTAGTTAAATCAGTGTATTTACTATGGTATGCTAGCCCAGGGCCTTACTGTGAAAACTTGAGAAATATTTGTCGAATGAGGTAAATGGAATTTCCTGTAATTACTCAAGTCTTTAAGTCATTCAGTGACACTCTATAAAAACTCACAGAAGTCTGTTTTAGAATTGTGTTAGGAAAACCTCTGTTTCCCCAAGGAGCAAGCCGGTTGCAAATGAGCATTGTGGGCCTGACTGTATTGCTGTTTTTCTCTTCCACATTTAGGAATCTGTGTTACATCTGAATTTAAGTCACAATAACTATAATGAGTTTTGTGAATGTTTTATGCTTTTTACTGTCCTCTTGATAAAAAAGAAATGATTCTCTTTAATTATTTCATTGGTTTTGGCTAGAGGGAGGGGAGTTGTGTTGACCTGTTTAAAGTATGTTGTGGGAAAAGGGATAGAAAAAAAAGGAAGAGAAAAAAAAAGAAGAAGAAAAGAGAATTCTTTAGCAACAGCCTCAAACATGGAGGCTTCCTTCTTTTGCTTCTGGTTTGGCACAAAACCCTTTGACCCGAGAGCTTATACTGCTGATCTCTAACCACCCCAGGCTCAAGAAACCACAGTAAGGTCTAGTTCCAGCTGGTAGCAGAGACGTCTACAGCAGAGGCCACAACCGGAGGAGACTGAGGACGAAGGCCTGGGCTGCTGGCCAGTGAGCTCACGGTAAGCATACAGGGAAGGTATTCCTGTGCTGGCAGTCACTAGAAGAAGCCATGATGGTGGCTGGCCAGCTTTATTCTGTCCAGACCTAAGGAACCTGGAGGAACCAGGACGAACTGCTCCTCCCCGGCCTCCCAGGGTCTTTGTAAACACCAGGTGCATAGACACGCCAAAAGCTGCTTCCAAGTGGCTGGAGCTCACTCTTCCCCACCTAACCTGGAGTTCTTGGTTTAAGAAGCTCACTCCTCGAGCCGGGCGTTGGTGGCGCACGCCTTTAATCCCAGCACTCCGGAGGCAGAGGCAGGCGGATCTCTGTGAGTTCGAGGCCAGCCTGGTCTACAAAGTGAGTTCCAGGACAGCCTCCAAAGCTACAGAGAAACTCTGTCTCGAAAAACAAAAACAAAAACAAAAAGAAAAAAGAAGCTCACTCCTCAATGTGTAACCTACCCACGGGCTGGTTGCGTTTAATCCAAGCTGCCAGCATGCCATCCCACGAATCTCAGGAAACAAAACAAAAAAAGCAGAAAGTGAATTAATGAAAACAAAACCCAGGGTGGATGGGAGAAGCTGCTCTTGCTACAGTTGCATACTCACCCGCTTTTCAAGGTGTCTGCCTCAGAGGTCTGGGTGTGTTCAGCCACAGGACTGAGGGAGTCAAGGGTCACGCTCCTGGGCTCTGGGTCTGTGGAAACAGAGTATCCTCCATCAGCAAATGACCCAGGCAGTTTTCTCAGGAGAAAATCGGGCGGGGGTGGGGGGTGGGGGGGATGTCTACTGGTGAGTTCTGAGCAGTGCAGAAGACAGAAACAAAGCTGCCACAGGATCAGTGCTGGCTTGTGGCTAGTGACACTAAAATTACTACAGTATCGTTTGGGAAAGTGATAGACAGGACAGTATAGGTCTAGAACCATAAACGTGTTTTAGCCTTAATCAGGACTCTCTCCTGGTTATTTATCCCAAGAAAACAATGCAAAAGAACAAACAAGCTTTTGTAACAACTTGTTTACTTGTTGGTAATGAAAAATTAGAGACAACTCAAAAATGATTTGGGAACTGATGTATACATGACTGGGGTACTTAAAATTATAGGTAAGGCTGTATGTGGTTGAGAGGTAGGGCTTGTTTCTTGCTGTGTTCAAGCCTCAGTATCACTAAGAAGGTTACTTAAGTAGGAAAGAAAATTATGGCTAAAGAGAAATATTGTATTTATGGAATAATGACAAGAAGAGATAGAGACTTAGAAAAGTGTCGCGATGCATTAAAATCTGGAGGGGACAGAAATATCACCTCATGTTCCAGACTAGTTGGAGTTAATAGTCAGACCCTGTCTCAAAAATCAAACAACCGTCACAAAAATCTACATGGCTAAGGACTGGAAGGGAAAATAGACAAAGAATACTGTTAGAGTAGAAGATTTAGGCATGTTTAATTTTTTTTCTTAAAACTCCAGTGTGAGTGGCTGGAGAGATGGCTCAGAGGTTAAGAGCACTGGCTGCTCTTCTAGAGGACCCAGGTTCAATTCCCAGCACCCACATGGTGGCTCACACTGTCTTTAGCTCCAATCCTAGGGGATCTGATTCCCTTCTGACTTCCTAGGGCACTGGGCACACACAGTGCACAGTTACACATGCAGGAGAAACACTGACACACATAATACAATTTTAAAACTGAGTGAAGCGCCTCTTTGTTGGGGTGGCGGCGGCACACACCTTTGATCCCAGCACTCCGGAGGCAGAGGTAGGCGCAGGCTCTGTGAGTTTAGGGCAGCCTGGTCCACACAAGGCAAGTTCCAGGACAACCAGGCTTTGCAGAGAAACCCTGTCTCGAAAACTCAAAAGAAAAAAACAAAAATCCCAACATGGTCCTAACAGTAGAAAGCAAATTGCTTTAAACAATGTCATCTTTATGAGGGGACTTACACATGTTACTGTGACACTGCTCAGGTGATCATGCTCCCCTACACCCAGGACTCCTCTGCCCGGTTCCCCTTGCCATTCGCACACTTTCAGGTGATAATGACTCTATCACACATGGACCTCCCTCTGGGACTTTAGAATGGGGACAGAACTATCATCAGTGTACAAATTGGCTGAGGAATGTACCTGAGAATTTCTTTTTGCTTTGTATATGTGACATTAGCAGGTAGCAGGAGATGATTACAGCATCTGTGGTATCTTCATGAGAAGAGGACCTTTGTGAGAATTTATTTCTTCAGCATGGTGGGGGATGGGCTGTGAGGGAAACTCATTGAAGTCATGCCCTGCCCTGAACATTTTTTTTTGAACTTGGGCCCAGAGCACAAGATGACCACCAGAGAGCGCAATTGTACTGTCCAGAAGCGGAGGCTTACGCTGGCAGTTAACTCCACCATTTGAGATCTGGGATGTGGGCCAGTGAAGGGGGATTTCTTTCCCTTAGTAAAATCACCCGATATCATAACTATGCAGAACACAGAATAAAATCTGTATTTGTACCCATGGACTTCCAAGTTAGCCTTGTGAAATTCGTACAATTGCACATATTTAATTCACATTTTCCCAGGAAAGAAATGAAGTATTTGTTCATGTGAGAACCACGACTTCATGGAAGAAAAGAAGCAGGGACACTCGGAAGAGCCAGCGGTGTTATGCATCAAGAGAGCCAGCCAGCGAAGCTTAAGTCGATCTGTACCAACCTGCTTTCGCAGCAATTAACCCACTCTTGAAAGAACGTCACTGAGCCCTTGCATGAGAGTCGAGTCCTACCTTTGCTTTGCTTTCAGAACCAGCATCTCACTATGTAGCCCAGGCTTGCCCAGAACTTTCCTGCCTCAGCTTTCCCAGTGTGGGGTTGCAGGCGTATGCCAGCATATCTGATGGGACTTTCACAATTGTCTTGAATGGCTAGATTAATTTAGGGACTGTTGTCTCCTCTTTTCCTTTTTCCTGCAAAGAATCTTGATAGGTCACCCAGGCCAGTCCCAAGTGCCACTACACCACCCTGTTTGGTATTGTCATTTTTATGATAATAGTTTCTCCTATCTGTGAAGACTATGCCCAGGGTTACATAGAATTATATATCTATTAATGTCTATTTTTATTTAATCAAAAGGAAATCATATATTGCTTTAATATTATACTTTTCCATGTTTCAATCACAAGTTAATAATTAGTAATGATACTGTAAAAAATTAGAGTGGGTTCCAGGACAGTCAGGGCCACACATAGCAACCCTGACTCAAAACAAAACAAAACAATCTGGGCAGTGTGGCAGATGCCTTTAATCCTATCACTCAGGGAGGCAGAAGCAGGGGAGTCTCTGTGAGTTTGGGGCCAGCCTAGTCTACAAAGTGAGTTCCAGAACAGCTAGGACTGTTATACAGAGAAACCCTGTCTTGAAAAATCAAAACAAGCTGGCGTTGGTGGTGCACGCGTTTAATCCCAGCACTCGAGTGGCAGAGGCAGGAGGATCTCTGTGATTTTGAGGCCAGCCTGGTCTACAAGACCTAGTTCCAGGACAGCCTCCAAAGCCACAGAGAAACTCTGTCTCGAAAAAGAAAGCAAAACAACAACAACAAAATTTGATTATGAGTGGAAGTGTCCTGTCATTTTTGCTGGGTGCTGGGTGCTTGCTGTAGAAATGAACAAGTTCATGAAACCGGGGAAAATGGTGCTGGTGGTGGCTGGACGCTAGCTACTCCGGACGCAAAGCCATCACTCTGAAGAACACTGACAACGGCACCTCCTCCTGTAGTCTTGCCCTGGTGGCCAGAATTGACTGCTGTCCCCCAACATGACAGCTGCCACGGGCAAGAAGAAAATTGCCAAGAGATGGAAGTACTTTGTGAAAGTTTGTAACTGCAGTCACCTCATGCCCACATGGTACAAAACTGTTGTCAACAAGGATGTCTTTAGAGACTCAGCTCTGAAACACAAGGTCAAGTTTGAAGAACTGTACATGTCAGGAAAGAACAAATGGTTTTTCTAGAAGCTTTGATTTTAGGTACATTTTTGTTTCCATAATTAAAAGTTTAAAAAAATGAAAAAAATTAGATCACTGTAGGGGACTGCTGGAGAGGCAACTTATTGTAAGCTGATGCAGAAAGGGAAAGATCGACCAATTGTCCCACCTTCCTATGTAAACTATGCCATTGGATAATAAAAAATAGCACATGGGAGTAGTCCTCTTTGTTGGCGTTTTCCAACCAGTAATTGAAGAAACCAGGCAGTGGCGGTGCACACCTTTAATCCCAGCACTGGATTGGGGGAGGGGGCAAAGGCTGGCAGATCTCTGTGTGTGTGAGGCCAGCCTGGTCTACAGAGTGAGTTACAGAACTACACAGAGAAACCCTGTCTTGAAAAACCAAAACAACAACAGCAGCTAGTAATCGAGGAAGGACTGATAGAATTCCATATGGTAGCCTGATTTTGCCAGCTCCAGCACGGATAGATCTGTAGCTACTAACACTGGCAAGAGACAAATGAACATTTGTGTCCCTTGCCAAGAGGAAGAATGAAACCTGAGCCCGATTAAGTCCCTAGGCCCGAGAATGGAGTAACAGGAAACAGGAAAGCTGAGACACAAGAAACCACAACAGGAGGACATAGTTAGCAAAATCAACACCACGGGAAACTCAGCAGGACAAAGTGACCCAATTTTCTGAGCACAAACTAAAAGAGGGGAAGGGAATAAATAGAATGGAACCTATAATTTAAATGGCCATATCAACTAATTATAATTAACTCAACAAACTAGGGTTGTAAAACATTAAGAACTTGAACACTGAAAACATGGCCAACCATATTAAAGAATTCTTTGAACAATCAGGTGTGATAATGTTGTCTTAGATACTTTTCTATTGCTGTGATGAAACATGACCAAAAGCAACTTGAGGGAAAAAAAGGGCTTATTTGGCTTACATATCCTGAATCACAGTCTATTAAGGGAAACCAGGCAGGAACTCCAACAGGGCAGGATCCTGGAGGCAGGAGCTGATGCAGAGGCCATGGAGGGCTGCTGCTGCTTACTGGCTTGTTCTCCATGGCTCACTCAGCCTGCTTTCTTATAGAGCCCAGGACCAGGGATGGCACCACCCACAATGGGCATTTTCTTATTAGTGATTGATGGGGGAAGGCCCAGCTCATTGTGGGTGATGCCATCCCTGGGCATCATAGAAGTGTAAGCCAATCAATTCTGTCCTCCCTGTTGCAGCAATAGAAACCCTAACTGAGACATTGATCCTGGTGACACACGGCTGTAATCCCAGGTCTTGGGAAGTAGAGTCAGGAGGCAAGGTCATCCTCTACTATAAAGTGAATTCCAAGCTGGCTTGGGTGACATGAGACCCTGTCTCAAACAACAAAGCAAAACAAAAACACAACAACACAAAAACCAAACAATTTCATTTGCATTTTGTGTCTTGAAAGACTATGTGACTGATTTGTAGAACCTGTATGTAGTAATCACTCAGTCCTTTTCTTTATTTTTAGTGGTTTGTGTGCTGTGGCCTGGATCATAAATATCCCTCTTGGGTTACGTGCTGAAGGCTTGGCCATCAGCCTGGGCTGACATTAGGAGGCAGTGGTACCTTTAACGGATGGGCCTCTAGGAAGAAAGCTCCCTGGGGTGTGCGGGCCTTGGTTCCTTCTTGCCTCTCTCTACTTCCTGGCCACCAAGGGGCTTGTTCAACTGCTTGCTGCCATG